TACCACCCACTTTCTCTAACAATCGTCCCCAAAACTCATTTTTCTTGAATTCAGATATTATTTATAAAGGTTGTATAATGATTTTTTAAACACTAATGGGTGAAAATCTATTAAACCCTACTAAATGATTGGCTCGTAAGTCTGGAATTACTTAAATGACTGAAATTATTCTTTATTGAACAAATTAAGGGTAGGAAAAACTACTCAAGGATCTATACGCAAAGAAAGTGTAGATAAGTGAAGGAAATTTGTTGAAGTTTGAGAGAAAACTTAACACTACATTGCAATTATCGTGAAATGTTGCTACAGCAATGACCAACTAGAAGTATTTATCCCCCTTTTTTAGTGGAATCACTTCTCAAATATATACACATTATCGAATTCTAAGCTTAGCCTTTTTCATAAGTTGAATGTAAAGCATGTTTATTGCTTAAAGTTCACATATCTGGGATTATTTTCCACATTTCAAGAAACGGAAACAGTTGTTTAGTGAACTATCTGTCCTACTAACTTCGATAAAACTCTATTTTTAGACATCAGCTAAATATTCATCTCAATAAGTTTCATAAGGTTTTAAAAAGAACAAAGTTTAAGTAGAAGACGGTAACGCTGCTGATGACTGACTCCTTGAAATATTATCTCTAAGTCGCATTCAAAGCACTTAAAAACAAAAAGCGGTCTTCGCCAGTCAAGATGATATCAAAGAAGTAGATGTTGATAACAATAATATGGTCTCAGACCATTCTGAGTCTGAGAAATGTTTTGATACATATTCCAACACTCATAACTGCCTTTCGTAATCCAACTATAAACTCAGTAGGTTATGAAACCTAATCACAGTTTACTTGCATCATACGCAAATTTTACTGTGACATGCTTTGTATTAGTAAACTTTTTTAGGTAGAATTTTGCAGTCTATGTACTTGTTATCTGCCCTAAGAAAAGAATTGAGGGAGTGACAGTTCTCCATCATGCATTTTAGAAAATATGAAGAACGGTAGGCTTAAAGAACAGTGGAAAGCAAAACTAGCTGCTCCAATACTTCAACTAAAAAGCTGTTTTAAGGTTAAAAATATATACAGAATTTCAAAAGTATGTCCTCTCTTCTCGCGAAAAAATATTTGGTTTCGGTAGTAAACTTCATGCGAGACCGTTGGGTACCTAAAAACCTAAATTTTCAATTTAACATACTTTAACATATTTCCGTGTATTTTAAATGTTTATACATGCTTTAGTATCTATCTATACCTTATTTTCACTTAAATCAAATCATAGAAAAGTTGCGTATGCGGCGTAGCTTGAAAACGGAATGAGCTGCACTGAGAGAACTTTTCAAGAAGAATATGTTGCTGGACTGTAGATGAGAAACACCCAGTCTACAGGAACTGTAGGTTTGAATAAAAATCATAAAACTATTTTTTAGTGTACCAGGATTCAAGTCTGTAGTTCCAAACCGAATTGTGGTATCCAACCTTGTTCCATTTTCTTCTCTCTAACTTTCAATTCTCCCAGTTTTGATACATATTCCTGGTTAGCTTACGAGTGAGTGTCTGATTTCGCATCCCTCGATATGTCGTCAGCGACATCACCAAATATATCCTCATTGTCACCAGATTTCGGTATCTGCGCTTCTGATTTATTCTTCATTTTTAACTATTTTCAGTAGTATCGACACCGTTAGTCTTGCTCAACATTATTAGAGTGTTACCACAAGTGCATTCTGTATTGACTTTGTGATAACTAACCTGCGTGTGTCCCTGTATGTGTATTCTAGTGTTACTCATAATGTGAACTTTCATTTATGCCTTATTCATGTGAATAAAGTGAATACATTGGATAACTGTTAGATTTGACTGTAATGCTGTATAAAGCAGTTCGCTGCGACCAAGAACACAATTCTCCACAGTGATCTGAGACATCTTTGTATTCACGTGTGACTGAATTTTCTCAAACAACTACTGTGATGCCTGGATGATGTTATTTCCTTGGAACAGGAAGAGTGGAAATAATGAATCAGAAAACAATTTATTTAATTTTCTGCAGATACCGCACTATTAAAAGCCGTAAATCGTGCTACTTTCTGCTTCTGATGCTCATATGCTGTTCTTGAACCACCAACATAAACATCATAAGAGAAACCGAAATACTAATTTCGATAGTCAAATACACCGTGAAACATTCCATTGAAATATTTTTGATCATCTGTGAAGTTGCTATTATTTATCTTGTACACCTCATTAGGGTTTCAGTATTTTCGTTATTCAAAGAACAGTAAAAGTTGCAAACGATGACATCATGGACTATAATTTGTTTATTTAAATTAAATTTTGATCTAAAAAGCCATTTTACCAAAGGGTAAGACTCCAGTTATTCATAAATGCTATGCACTTCTCATGTGTATTCAGTTGTCGATAAAATGTATCCAGAAATAACAGTAGTGAAAACAAACTTTGTAATGTATCAAGAATACAAAACTGGTCACTGAAACAATAATAGATTTATTTTAGAATTGCAGTGAAATCCTTTTTTCTGGTAGTGAACAGCATATTCTGCAGTTCCACAGCAAAGCAGTAGGAAAAGCAATCTATTTCGACAGGATTTCGCTGAACAGTAGCTGTCTCAGTGAGTCATAAAACTTTCAGTTGGTCAACTTTCATAAAGAAAACAGGTGAGATCATCACCAGGAAACATGTATACACTTGAGATTGAATATATCACTACTTACAGTTCACACGCTTTTCATCAAACAGGACACTCAAAAACATTTTCATATACCACCATCAGAATAAGGATTAAGGTGATTAAATCAGAATGGTAACCAACTTTATCCGTGCATTAGATTTTTGATCATTGTGACAGAATGGAAGCATGTTATTGATGCATTCAGCAATCGAACTGAAATAATTATTTGCTGATAGTTTGTTTTAAATAGCTAGACAGTATTTGGCGATATAGTAAATATTTCAACATCGAAATGAGACGCGTTTCGTAGAACTGAGAGTTTTGTTTTCATAACTGAAAACAGTCGAATTGATTTCAGGCTAGTTATACGGCACACTAACATTATGTACTGAATCAAGTTATTTTATATACACCAAAGTGTTCCATCAGGGATTCACTTGTCCCTTAAAACTTCTACAACTTTTAGTAGAGGTGAGAAGAATAAATAACACAGTAGTATTAAATTTCGAAACGGCACTTGTTGCAGTGCACTAACGTGACGACTACCTAAGACTGCAAGTAAAACTTCAGTTTATACACAATTCTATTCCATAGATTGATGCTTCTCTGGGTAATAGTGAAGAAATATTAATAATTTCAATTTACGCCAATATTCCGGCAAGAATGCATTATTGAAACGGTTCTGCTAGGAAAAATGCAAATGGAATTACTAGTCTTCACTTAGTTGAATTTATCTACCTAAAAGCTGTGATGTAGAAAGATTTATATTCAACATTAGCAGTGAGAGCAAAAGAGATACTATGTGTATTTTAGAGCACAATTATGGACCAATTTTTTGTATGACAAGTTACACTTTATCCCTAAATTGAAGGAACAATCTAAGTCAGTAATCCAGTATATCTTAGTTTTTGGGTATGTATATATTAAATACATTCAGAAGTAATGCAAGATGAATAAAACCGTTTTCCTGTGCACTAAGAGATTGGTTTCACTTTTCTGACCAAAGTGAGGATGAACTAAAAATGTCACTGATTGGAGCTGCTATGAGACAGACAAAGATATTTATTCACATTCGAATTTTTTGTCAAAATTAATGAAATTTATCAACTAAAGTAAAATTTCGTCCCATGAAGAGTTTTATACTTGTGTAGTCCTGGTGTGATATATTAAAACAAATAAAAAATAAACACTTATTCTGTACTATTCCTCAACGTTTCCTCCCCTGAATGCTTAATGTCATATTCATACTCTTGAAAAAGATCTTCCTAGCAAGACAGAAAAGTTAGTATTTGATTATTTTGTTATTTTGTTAATATACTACGCCGGGGTTACACAAGTCAAAATATATCTTATACGATGAATCATACTAACTCGGTGCTCAACTTTTTCCAAACTATCCAGTCCACTGTTAATCAGAATGCGTTCAGAAATAAAAGCCGATAAAGGAAAATGATTATGGATGAAGTTAATACTTGGGTCACAGCAGGATTCGATCTAGTGATCTCCAAATGACAAATCCAGTGTTCCATGAGACCTATCTACTTACTGTCTAAACCTTAGTTACAAAGGATCACAAAGCTTAGGAAATAGCGAGTATAGTCTGGACCAGCAGGTGATACTAGCATGCCATATCACGGCTGTGTCAGATGAATCCAACAGCGAAACTAGAAATGTCAACTGAACTTTGGCATTTGATAGGTAAGATAAATCACCATAGTAGTGGACTTAACCTGCTGGATAGACGTAAGTGAAGATAAACTGAAATGATGATCATTCTTCTAAAACCTACGTTTATATCTGACTAAGAAAGATTGCTATATTTAATTGAACTTACAAACGGTGTTCTGAACTAGTACATGAGAATAACGCTCTGATAACAAATCACTGTTAATAAGCTTTTAGCGAATATGTTTCATTTTTTCAGTGGAGTAGCGAAAGGTTATTATGGAATAAAATCGAGAAGGTAGTAAATGTTGTCAGTTGAATATTTGCCATCCACTGGTGAAAGCAGTTTTAATTCTGCTCCTTATCACTTTACATCTGTATAATGCTTTATGCCAAAGAATGTTCTGGGTCTACATTGAACAATGTCACTTATTACAGCAGGTGTGGGAGTTGCTTCGTTAGCGACTCACTTCCAAAATTTCCCTCATGCTACAAAAATGCCTGTTGTGTGATCCACTTTTCTTTATCTACGTGAAAAGATCAAAGAATTACTCGAAGATCACAAGTTCGTTTGTCTGATCATAGTATGCCATTTCATGGCATATTTAAAAAAGGAAAGTAAAGATTATCCTAGTAAAATAAGTTTTACTTACCGGAATAATCTCTTTGGTGAAGTATGAGACGTAAGTTTGCGTATTTTTTATATTTCAGGTGATTAGTTGAAACTGTTGAAACATAGCATGAAATATTTAAGGTTTAACGGTGCACTGTTCACAGAGTACAATTTGACAATGAAATAATTCAATGGAGGAAGTTCTTTCTGAAGCTGATACTTTTATAATACACTATACGGTAGCAACGACGAATTACAATAAAAATGAATTAAAAGGGAAGAGAAAATTTATGACAGCATCTGAATACTTTTAGTAGCCAATACAATCGGTGAATCATTTTGATTGGTGAATACTATTCCTCACCTCTAATGCACAATTTCTTTGTCTTGGCAGCTGAGTTATCCAAAAATATTTTTTAGTTGCTTATTACATAAGCTAATCACGTTATTGCCCACAGACTTCATATGCAAGGCATCAGCTCAGTGTGACAAGGTTTTATATACTTGCCTTTTAAATAAAAGTGTTCAAGGTTTTCAGGGACATTATTCGTTAAAAGATTGTCGTCACGAGTGTTGGGCATAATTATATCATTACCTTAAGTCAAGGTAAAAAATAAGCATAGTTTAATAATAATAATAGTAATAATGGTCGCATTATTCCAGACAACATATGTGATACAGGATCGAATTCTCAGCAGGTAATATTTCAATTAATTCGCTCCCTGGACACCATTTTTGAAATAAATAATTATTGAATGTAACTAGTGTTCATAATAACGGTATTAAAAGTAATTATATGAAATGGGTAGCTGGTGTTACATTAGCGTCTGGTCTGCACTTGGAGATGAAAATAAAATCGAGTGTAATTTTGGTGATGGTAGTTCTATCAGTGAGCCCAGAAATTTGCTGTTCAATACTGGTACCCTAAGAACAGTACTGTGCTGTACTTCCAAACATTTATATGACAGATTTTATCCGATGTAACGTTTTCTCTTTGTTTCTTTCTTAGTTTGAGAAACGATAGTATGAAAACATTTTCAAACATTGCTAGAGTACATGGTACGCTTAACAGACAGAAAAACAAAAGGAAAGAAAAGAATTTGGCCAAATGTATTTAGTGAAAACCTTTTGATGAGCAGAGATTTAAGCAGGCTTCGTCAGTGTAAGTCATTTCGGCTGATTTCCTGTTGAAAATTGAGAAAAACTAATGGAATAACATAATTATTTTCAAAGTGTGCATAGAAACTGAAAAGTTTTCAGAAATCTGTATGATTGAAAATAGAACTCAGCTGTGTTAAATATTAGTAAAGAGCAGTTTTTAACAGTTCTGATGCCTCCTAACTCGAGATAACTGCATAAGGTAAGGCGGAGAAGATCATGCTACCCCAGTGAAGCTTCTGAGAGTTAACAGTTTCCTTTTCGTTCGTGGAAAATTACTCGAATTTTAATAATTGAAATAAAAGTTAAAATAATGAATTTACCCAGAGTTATAACAGACTTGAAAGTCACACAGAACGCACAAAACTTGTTTATTTCTGTAGAAAAATGATTTTTCTCTTTACCAAAATAATGAACAAACCCTTTTGCATGAAAGTACACTGGTTTTTCTGCTAAATATTTTTGTAAAGTAAGTTTAAACTGTGATTTTAAAAAGTAGAGTTCAAAGACTAATAACATCTACTACTTTTCAGTTATTCTTGGCGTGTGAATGAATACAATACCTTATTTCCAAGTAAGTGGCTCGCTGTGAGCTCTTTGCAAGAAAATACCTACAAGGTTTTTTAACTAATGAATTGAGAAAGGCATGCTTACAATACAACTCGGTTTTCTTAATTATGAGTTATCACGATCAGAAGATTCTTTCGTAGTAATTGTCTACAGGTCAATGATTTTGATATAATCCGTCATATATACTTTCTCAAAACTAAGTATAAAAATGTTTCCTTTGAAACAATTGTTTTTAGGTATTTCGTTTCATAAAATGCCACTAGTCATGATGCTGGATAGTAAGGTGGATTTTGTGGATACTGAGACTGAAGTATGTTTGGAATTCTGCAGGTTCATTGGCCGAAAGTTTTAGTTTTCGTCTAAGAAAAATTCATCATTTTGTTGTTCAAGATGCATATATTCGTGAAGAAACAATTTTATTCCAATACATAGCAAACGCCAACAAATATAAAGATGGATCATCATTTCTTATGAAGTCATGTTAACTGACAGTGACTTCATCTGAAATATGCATATTCAACTCACAGTTAGTTCAAGTTGTTATTCATCGTAGACTGATATTAATTAGAGGAACAAAGCAATCCTGGGAGCACCGAACAGCTGTTTCTTCCTAGTATGGGACTCCTCAGCAGTGCGTACCCACGAAACCCGCCAGGGACCGAACCCGCCACCTTCAGGTTCCCTGGCCAGCAAGTTACCATTGACCTACTGGGTCAGAATCCAGTGCTCTATATTTCCAACTTCTGTTAGCTCACGATGTAGTTCAACTGCCACCCAATGTCAACTTTGAGTAACTGTCCTCACGACTATCAGGCTTTGCCCCCACCGATCACGACTTCTCATTAGAACTTCTGGAATTCATCTCGAAGCTAGTTACCAATGAGCGCCAGTTCAATTGAATTTTGAGGGAGTTGTGGGGATTTGGAAATATTTCAAGCTGTTATTCATCGTAGATTGACATCAGTTGTTTTAAATCGCCAAAACCTGATAAGGGTT